GTCCTCCTTCTTGAACCATCTCAGATAGAAATATCCATATAAATTCAACAATGTCAGCTCTTTGACCATATTACACCGCTTTCATCACGAGGTTTTTGAGACAGCACTAGACATCGCAATGACACGCGTCATCGTGTCAAGAGCGCTGCAGTGCTTTAGGACGGGAAAGCGGTCACAGGCGGATGTCGATTGGCGCACGCCATTCATGTTTTAGGGTAGTATAGGAGAAAAGGAAAATCCTAGGCAATGCCCGTCATCGCGATTTCTGTATGGGGCTCCAGTGTTCCTCTTTCTTGGAACGACCTCGATATTAAAACCTACCTTAATTCCAGATGTTACTCCCAACTGTGCTACTAGTGTTTGTGGCGGCAAACTGCTACCGACTTTCACAAAAAGAGAATGAACTCTTGCAGAAAAGCTGCGGTGTTGCCAACTTGGGTAAGTCCTATAGTCGAGATGTATTGGCTGCTTATGTGATAGATTCCCCTTTTCTATAAAGGCAAACTGTACACTCATCCCGAGAACGTTTCTTTTCCGCGTGCAAAAATGGGGGTCCGTATCTGGAACGAGTCACTTCCCGCCCAAACGTGGACGTGCACGGATACGGGGCGGGAGGGTAGTGACAGTAGGGCGTCCTGCCATACGCTAACAGAGCGAAAACGCTTCTGGTTGGCGCACTCTCGCTTATGAATGTCGCTTCCTCTGAGTGTTAACTAAAAAGTGTTCAATGACTCTGGGTGTTACTAGGCATGTGAAGAAGGTCGTGTGCGTGGCGGTCCTGTCCCTTGCCCATGACATTAATTACAAATAGAAGACATGTTCTGCAGGCATTTTGTGGGTTTTGGAAGAGGCTGTGGGGCATGAAATTACTCCAACAGCTCAAAGCTTACAAGGCTCCTTCGATTCGCAGCAGTATCTCGCGCCAAGTATTCTATGTAGTTGTTGCAGAATTTGATGCACATTGAGAAGTGCTAATCCAGCAACACCCAGTATTTCCTAGAGAGCTTATATTCTCTTGGAAGCTTCAAATGATCACGAAATCTGTCCACAGTTTCGCAAAATGCTGCTTCTGGAGAAAGTTACAATTTTTCGAAAACTCATCATGGTACAGTGACGGTAGTGATCGATAGCATTTGAAGGAGGTGAAAGAAAACCGCATTGGAAAAAACGGCGTTTTGATCGTCAGATTAGATAAACCAGCCGGCTTCGCCGGCTGACACCGGCGCGCCTCCTTCTGAGATACAGCACGGCTTCGTCGAGCAGGCGCGGCTCCGCCGCGCTTGCCTTATTCCACTCATTTCATTAGCCACCTAATATCAGGCTTTTCTTTAACCTGAACAGGTGGTCAACATTCCTTGACCAATAGCATCATACCTGCTACTTTCAACACTATTACAGTGAATGGAGTGGTGGCACGGAGCGTTGATGAAGTGGGCAGATGAGAGAAAAGCCGGGTATTAGTCGAGCATTTGATCATACGAATGCAGGTAAGCGCGACGCCCCGCAAAGCCGGGCCGTATCACATAGAGGTCTGGAGTGAGTGCTCTGGAACCGATTGAGGAGTTTTTAAGGCTGGTCCCGCTCACCTTGACGCACGCTCCACACACGACAGGTATGCCTGATACTTGTGAACCGCGGTGACACCCTCGCTGATCTTAAATCCTACTTCTTCGCCACAGTGCTTGAGTGCTCCTGGAAGCCCGTATTGCGTAATTTTAAATTTTGACTCCAACCCACATCGAGTACGCCCGCACCCCAACAATGTATGCCCGCGCCGACCCGTATAGTCGCACGTGCCTCGCGCTTTCTCAACTAATAACAACTCGATGACCTTAAACTACTTTTTCCCGGTGTCTGGAGTGCTCGGGAAGCGTTTTGCGAATTTTTTAAATTTGACTCCACCCACCTCGGAGTACGCCCTGCCCACAATGTATGCCTCGCGCTTCTCAACCAATGACCCCTCGATGACCTTAAACTACTTTTCAGAGGCGTCTGGAGTGCTGGGACAGCGTTTTTGCCGAATTTTTTAATTTGATCGCACCCACTCTCGGAGTACGCCCTGTCCACGTAATGTATGCCGTCGCGCTTCTCACAAAATGAAAAAAAAAACCTCCCGTCGATGACCTTAAACATACACTTTTTTCCCGGTGTCTAGAGTGCTCTGGAAGCGTTTTGCGAATTTTTTAAGTTTGGCTCCACCCACCTTGGGGCAGGCTCCGCCCACAACGTATGCCCCGCGCTTCTCAACCAATGAACCGCCCCTCGATGACGCTTAACAGTATTTTTCCTCGTGTCTAGAGTGTATCTCTGGGAAGGCTGTTTTGCGAATTTTTTATAATTTGGCTCACCCACGAAGTTGGGGCAGGCCTCCGCCCACAACGTATCCCCGCGCTTCTCAACCAATGACCCCTCGATGACCTTAAACTACTTTTTCCCGGTGTCTAGAGTGCTCTGGAAGCGTTTTGCGAATTTTTTAAGTTTGGCTCCACCCACCTTGGGGCAGGCTCCGCCCACGCCCTAAGGAACGTATGCCCCGCGTCTCGAACCAATGACCCCCCTCGATGACCTTTAAGGACTACTTTTGTTCTCCAGGTGGTCTATAGTGCTTCTCCTGGAAGCGTTTTGCGAAATTTTTTTAAGTTTGGCTCCACCCACCTTGGGGCAGGCTCCGCCCACAACGTATGCCCCGCGCTTCTCAACCAATGACCCTCGATGACCTTAAACTACTACTTTTTCCCGGGTGTCTAGAGTGCTCTGGAAGCGTTTTGCGAATTTTTTAAAATTTGGCTCCACCCACCTTGGGGCAGGCTCCGCCCACAACGTATGCCCCGCGCTTCTCAACCAATGACCCCTCGATGACCTTAAACTACTTTTTCCCGGTGTCTAGAGGGCTCTGGAAGCGTTTTGCGAATTTTTTAAGTTTGGCTCCACCCACCTTGGGGCAGGCTCCGCCCACAACGTATGCCCCGCGCTTCTCAACCAATGACCCCTCGATGACCTTAAACTACTTTTTCCCGGTGTCTAGAGTGCTCTGGAAGCGTTTTGCGAATTTTTTAAATTTGGCTCCACCCACCTTGGGGCAGGCTCCGCCCACAACGTATGCCCCGCGCTTCTCTCAACTCAATTGACGCCTCCTCGATTGACGCTTAAACACTTTTTTCCGCGGTGTCCTAGAGTGCTCTGTGAAGCGGTTTTGCGAATTTTTTTAAAAATTTGGTCTCCACCCCACCTTGGGGCAGCTTCCGCGCCACAACTCGTATGCCCCCTGCGCTTCCTCACCAATGACCCCTGCGATGATCCTTAAACTACTTTATTTCCGTGTCTTAAAGTGCTCTTGTGAAGCGATTTGGCAGTAAGTTTTTAAGTGGTCTCCACCTCACGCTTGCGGGCGCCTCCGCTCACAACGACGGTATGCCTCGGTACTTCGTGAACCGGTAACCCTCGTTGTCTTAACGTACTTTTTCCCAGTGTCTGAAGTGCGCTCTGAAACCGCTTTTCGCGAATTTTTTAAATTTGCTTCCGTCCACTTGGAGACAGCTCCCGCCCACAACGTATGCCCCGCGCTTCTCAACCAATGACCCCTCGATGACCTTAAACTACTTTTTCCCGGTGTCTAGAGTGCTCTGGAAGCGTTTTGCGAATTTTTTAAATTTGGCTCCACCCACTTTGGGGCACGCTCCGCCCACAGCGGGAGTGCCTCGCACATTCCTGCATGTGATCACTTGGGGGCCATAATCCACTTTTTTGCGCCATCTGTAGTGCTTTAGCACCAAATTACGGTTTTTTACAATGGTACCTCGGGTTCAAATGCACGCCCCGCCCACTGTGGGCGGGCCTTAGTACTCCGCAAACATGGTGGACTCTTGACAGATGTTCATCTTCGTCATGGAGTTTTCTGCGACCTCTAAACATTTTCGGGGACCGAGTTATTGACCTTTGTGGGAAGCACCGCCCATTTCGGGTCTCTCTCCTCCATTTGATGGGCCAACCCAGTGCTAACCTAATACCACTTTTTCCATTCTCCGAGCTGCTTCGTAGCCAAGTTATGGTAATTTTTCAGTGCCATGGAAAGCCCCGCCCATCTCAAGTACGCCCCGCCCATTTCGGGAGTCTCTCCTCCATTTGGTCAGTCAGGCCTTTGTTAACCTTACTGCACTGTTTCCTCATCTCGGGGCTGCTCTGTAACCGAGTTATGACTTTTTAAAGTGGCATCGCTAACTTTGGACGCACGCCCCGCCCACAGTGGGCGGGGCTTAGCATGGGTCATGGGTGCTATTTAGGTTTTGTCCCATGCTCTATCCATCCCCACCATGGTCCATTCCCGCCGAGCTCTGCTTCAGGTGCTATGAATTTCGTGACAAACAGACAGACACACACACACACACGGACATAGCCGATTATATTAGTAGGATGGCAGAAAAGCAAAGGGGAGATAGTATGGACCCTTTTTGTGTGTTTGTGGGGAAGGGGTAAAGTGGAATCGACCAGTCATTTTCTTTCATGTGATCTTTCATGATCTTTTTCTTTCATGATGCTTGACACTTTGCAAAACGAGCTTCATTTACATTAATAGTAGTGAACAGGTCTTATCAATGTGAGGCGTGTAATTTTGCAGAATTGAGCGAAGAAAACTAGCATAAGTGCAAAGGTCTCTCCTCCATCCATCCATATGAGGGATGAGGAGCATCCAGAGTTTTTACAGGTCTTCGATTATTTTTTTCCCGTAGGAAGATCAAAACCAGTAAAGATGACGTGATTATCATGAGAAATCAGATATTTCGGCTTCTATGGCCGGTCATTGTCAACAGAACGAGCATGATAACTTCAGGATCTTCTTCAACATTCAAGATATTTGGAGGGCGTCTTATAAAGCCAGGCGAGTACCCCTTTATGGTCAAACTATGGGTTGCTAAAGATCTACAACGTAAGCGTTTTCGTCTGGTTGCGGTGTCGAATATATAGTCTTTCACTTGAATGGAAAACATTTACCAGACGCAGTTATGAGTTGCAGTGGATCCCTAATCTCACCGCGTCACGTCCTTACGGCCGCACATTGTGCGATTGAGAACCTAGACGAGACGATGGTTAAGGGCAAATGCGACGGAGTGTTGAAGAACTACGTGCTATCAGAGAACAAGCCAAAAGATTTCACCGTATACGTCGGCACCCGTTGTAATCCTCCCGAGGAGTGTAGCAGTAAGCGCTCTGTTACAAAGGTCCGAAATTGCTAAAAATCTCTTATGTGATCAACAGTACCTTTTCTCTTTTGTTCATTAGGTTTTTTTCGACAAAAAAATGAACTTCTGCGTGCGGAAAGTACAGAAAGGGGAGCTGTACGATTGGCTGGTCACACACGATCTTGCAATCCTCGAACTCAGTAAGGAAGTTGGCAGCAAGGATGCCGTTCCAATTTGTTTACCGCACCGTGAACTTTCACTGGCAAAAGAACTTCAGGCTGCTGGGACTGGACTTCAGAGTTGTAAGTTTACAATATTTGATGCCGTAGGAAATGTTGACATTTCTTTCAATGACTCCCATCTACCACTTCAATTTACGACCCGAAAATTATCGAAAGAATTCTTAGACATAGGCAGAACGGGGAGGGGGAAAGGCACCCATTTCTATCTAAATGGGAGACGGGTGATTTCAGGAAAGTGGAAGGTACAGTAATGCAGTCAGGGCCCCATTGTTGGAAAAAACAAGCCAGGAATGTGATGGTTGATAGCCCGAAAACGAGATGCGCAGTACCAAGCTTTATCAGAGTTCTTTCCTCTGACACAACACTTATATGCCACCCATTTGTACTCATTTGATGGTATTAAAGCAGTCTCTTAAGCGAAGTCGATTATCGGCCACAAAATTGCTACAATTCCATTCATCACAGAAGACCACCATGAAGTAATTCTGGGACAGAGCAATAGAACTTCTGTCTGTGGGTGAGTGATATTGACGCTTATCCAGAACTCTTCAATTTACGGAACTCACACATACAGTCATGGTCCCTGCAACTGAGAAAGGAGCCTGATAGCACTCGGGCGGTAGATATTTGAACCACTATGGATCTCTCCCTCGAACACAGCACCGGCGAGGTTGACCGTTCAATGAGCGAAGTGAGCAGTTCTGCTGCTGTACCAGTATAACATCTCCGACACTTGAAGTAGCATGGAAGTCAAGTTGAGAGGGGGGGGGGGGGTGAAAGGTGGAGCGTCTTTTACAGGTGCCTTCGCTGTGGCATGTGGCGGCGTTCTTGCACACGTACGCGGCGGCGCCAGCTTGTTTTCGTCAGCCACTGCCACCAGGGGATCAGACAACCATTGATGGAAATTGCGCCAAAAGCAGGGACGCCTCCATTCGACACCTTGATAGGCAATGTGTTAGGTCATCCCATTCAAGCAAAAGGAAATGTTCGCCAATGGCAGGGAAGCGAAGGACTAAGAGCCACGGGGTGTCAGACTTCTCAGAGCAAGTGGTTTCCGCTTTGTGTTCGTTTGGCTGGCTAACGTTACCACAGCAGAAAAACTTTATATTTGAGAAAATTCTTTGTGGTCAAAATGGCGCTGGATTATCCAACGCGGCGTATAACCTCGTCATCCGGGCAGTTGATTAGGGCGGTCGTCAACGGGCCGCAGCGCGTGCCAGGAACTATTTGCTTTTCCAGGCTAATTTAGTCATTTTTTCCACCTTGTGAAGATAAGGAGCTGCTAATCTGGGAAAAAGTAGCCAAAACAGTGAAAAGTTGGAAAAAATGACTAAATTAGCCTGGAAAAAGCAAATAGTTCCTGGCACGCGCGCCCTTTGACGACCGCCCTAATCAACTGCCCGGATGACGAGGGTACAAGGAAAGGACGCCGCCTTAAATGCGCCAATGCCAGAACGCAAAGAAAGACAGCATAATGTCCGGCAGATAAGTTCCCCTTCGATTCCCCTTTTCTTCTTTAGGTGGCTATGCGACGGTCAAAGCTTCGGGTGGGGGTCCTGCCACGGGTGACCGGAGCTCAGAGAAATGGGGCTGCTGCTGCTGTGACATGGGAGAAAACGTGTCAAGCCGAGAGATGACCTTTCTCACGGGACGGGACATCGGAGTCGATGAGCGGACATCGGAGTCGATGAAGTGCAACACTCGAAACGCTGAGAATTTTCCGGACAACTTAATAGTATCAGAACGGCATGAAAACGCGAGAACGCAAAGAGGGAACGTTCAGATCAAACTGGGTTGAGTTGTCCCTATATTCTGCTCTTCTTCTTCGTAAGTCCCTCTCGGCGGCGAGGTCTCTCCTCATTTTATTTTATTTCTACTTTTTCCGATTGAATGTCTGGCCGCGATGGGTGACTACGATCTTCATGCCAGCATGCAACTCATCTAGCCAGCGCCATTTGGGGCTCCCTTACGCCGCTTTCCGGCCACCTCGAGCTTGAGACTAGTCTGACGGACGACGGTGTCAGGACTCGCACGAAGCACATGACCGCACCATCAAAGGCAAGATTCGGGCATTTTCTCGGCCACGGGAGCTACATCCGAATCTCTTGCATATGTCTTCATTTCGAACGCGATCCATTCGTGTGACATGAGCCGTCCAGCGCAACATTCTCATCTCCATCACTCCAAAGCAGGCTTTGAAGTCCTCAGTGGATTCATCGCCGTATCGAATGACGGTCATTCATCGCCGTATCGCAAAGAATGATAGTCAAAGGTTGTCACTCAAACAGGCTGTGTTCACGCGCGAGTTGACTTCCGAGTCTAGGCTGCCATGGACGTAATCCCAGGTACCTGAAATCTGCAATTGATGCCAGGTACCTGAAAGCTGTCATACGCGTTAGCCCCTTGTCGCAGACTCCGACAGAACCGCGTTCGTTCGAGTCGGTTGTCAGGTACTCAGTCTTCTTGATGTTCAATCGGACAAGGGAATCCCAGTCTCAATCTGGCTCAGTGAGATATATATGTAGAAAACGTGTCTTGACCCACTGAATTCAATCCTGCTCTCAAAATTTGTGGAACAATTCTTTAGAGGAAGTTACGGACTATTCATTCTCTGCCATGTTCGCTAAGCTCGACCGTGTGTAAAGAGTACTTCTTCTTGCGATGCTCATTGTGAGAGCTGGTTTTGTTTCCAAGATTTCGTGGTACAGTACCAGTAATCTCTCCGGTCATATGATCTTCATTTCCTGATGCAAGCTCTAATGGACGGATAAACTCATAAAAAAACTCCTGAAGAAAATGGTCCAGAAAAAGCGAATTCGCTTGCTTCTAATGTCAGATTTCCAGAGAACAAGGTGAATTGGCTGAACAGAAGTGTTTTCTGGTCTCATATGAAGTGTGTGACACAAAAGCGGAAATATTCAAGAGCCAAGGACTCCAATAGCGACCTCGTGGCTTTGGAGCACTTGACCTCGTCAGTTATCGCTCCGAAACTTCTGTTACCCTTTTTTTGGAATCCTAAGCATGGTCAAAATTAGCTTACCTGCAGTATTCGATGATATCCAAAACTGAAGAAAATATCTCAAGCTGGTGGGTGGTGCTTACATAGTTCTCATCGATTGTATCGTCAGTCCTGGGAGGCCAGCGAGGAGACTCATTCTCTGCTCTGACATTCGACAAAGGCAAAAGACGACAGTGCATAAACATTGTCTACCTTCTGCTCTAGCGGTGCATGTTGTACGGTTTCGGAGGAAGAAGTTTCAATTTCGATACATGTGTTTCTACTTCCATCCAAATAGCCCTCTTCAAGTCCGAGACTCCAAAATTGATGAATAACAATGGATGCAGAAAAGTTCAACCTGAAAAACCTTCCTGAGGTTTGAAGGTGTTGATTTTGTTAAGACTGCCTGACATCGAACAGTGATCACGATAACGTGCGCTCAAAAGCATGCAACGACCACGTGAGCAATCTGCCGTAGTGAGAGCATGGCCGCCAGTGCCACAAGCTTACGCATGTTGTATGCATTTCAAGCTCACGTTCACGTGATCATTCGCACGGAATCCGAACACGGCTTGAGCCGGCTAAAACGTAAACATTGAGCTCTGGAGTTTAGTGTTAGGTGCACTCGCCGTCTACAAATCACCACTGAAGAAACAAAAATTACTCCTAAAGCTAATTTTTTTGCATCTTTTTATGTTCGTCGAGATTATAGTTGTGGCCTTAAGAGGGTCTTTTGTTCGAGCACTGAAACACGTACGTCGGAGTAGAACTTCTTTCTTGTGAAATTGTGAATGGTGCTCCGCTAGGGTAGAACGTAGGCGGCCCTTCATCGCAGCTTTGCTTTTGTCAAATGTCCCTCTGTCTTTTTTTGTTGGTTTTCGAACACTTGGGATGAAGGACATAGATAAGTACGCGGGAATTGCGATCGCCGCTCGCGCGAACCCAAGTTGTGGCTCTGTAGGTTGGAGCGAAATATCCTACTAAATATAATCCGCTAAGTATGTCTGTAAGTGTGTGTGTGTTTGTGTGTGCGTCTGTCTGTCTGTCACGAAATTCATAGCGAGCGTCGCAGAAAAGATAGGACGACAGTTCCAAGAAGTGATATACGTGGCAGGACGGGAACACTTTTGGTGGGTGATAGAATGTGATAGCACCTGATAAGATTCGATAAGGGGCCTTAGAAGGGGAGGGTGACCGAGCCCATAGTGCGGGACACAGTAACAGTGGGACATTGGTTCCAAGGTATGATATAGGACGTGGGACAGGAACATTATTGATGGGTGACAGGGAATGATAGCAGCTGATAGGATTTGATAAGGGGAGTTAGAATGGTAAGGTCACCATACTCATAACGCGGAACACAGCATCAGCTAGGCATTAATTTCAGAAAATGATATAGAGTTGGAGATGGGGACACGGCACGTGAGGTGATAACAGCTGATAGGGGCTGATAAGGAACGTTGCCAATGCTGTTCAGTCAAATTGCTGGAGCCTTTACACTACCAAATTATAGAGTTTCAGTGATAGGGACATTGATGACGGGTGACAGGATCTTATCAATCGATAAGAAACGATAAGGGGTCATTATCATTACCTCTCTTATCACTATACCCCCAAGTATCAAAGGCTCAGTGTGCATACTTTTCCTTCAGCCATCACTTCCCTGATAGCCTTAGAAAATGAACTCATCCTACTATATAATGTCGATGTCGACGAGCGGGGGGGGGGGGGTATGTAGTTCGCCTGAAACAGGAATCTCGGGGAAATTCGAGGATTTCGACACTTCAACGAGCGGATCGCATGCTAAATGAAAGGAAAGCGTTCGTCGGTAGGCATTCCGGTGCCGGTGCAGGTAATGGAAACGAAATCTGCTATTTCACTGAGCGATTCATATTGCGCTGTATTGGCCGACTACACATTGTATCTATCTACAGATTTATGTATTCTATGGGCGTCATGGCGCGGACTACACCGCTGCTGTAAATAGAAGCGCGTGCTGAGTTGTGCGGGATCCTAAGCCTTGCTCTGTCTGTTACGATTCGATCACTACAGCGCCTTATGAGCAGCCCACTACCGAAAAAATTCCGTTAAAATTATGGAGCCGCCTGGCGCCATAAAGCAAGCCGAGCTCAAGAGAAGGAGGAGAGCACGGCGTGAGCCGTGCGATCCGACTGGTTAGAAGGATAAAGGATAAAGTTTTCGCTGGTCGATTCCTCTATGTGATAAGGCAGACATTCTGCTTTCATCCAGAATCGTGGTAGCTTATTAAATACCATATGGCCTCTACAATGACTTGTGGGACCAACCCATGTAGAAGTCAGTTTCTCATCTTCCCACACGAATCTGGTACCAATCTACCGTCCCTCGAAGAAAGAGAGCTTGGTTGGCGTAGGCGGGGATTGATCCGAGAGTAGGACCCAAGACCGCGCAAGAGTGGTATGTGCGCCACTTGTAACTACATCGTCTCACCCTCGAAAGGAATATCGTCTAAAAACTCATTTCAAAAAGTCATCTTCTTAAGGCGTGGTCGTTAAGATGAAAAAGCAAAGTTGAATGATCGCACTGTTGGTAAGAAATCGGATACATAGTATCGTAACAAACATAATAA